TATAGTGGGCTTCCGCGTCTGTGTCAAGGTGTCGCATTTTTGGTGGCGGGCGACCAGGACGCAAAGTGGGTTCTTAGGGGGCAAAAAAATTTGGGGGACCGGTCCTTGGAAAAACTGCGGACTACCTACAGCTAGCTCTGGTAGAACCGGGACTTTTGGAAAAAGGAAGGACCGGTCCTCGGGTGGAAGTGGACCCCAAAAAGAAGTGGGGGGCGTTGGACCGGACCCCGGGTAGAAGCGGACCCCAAAAAGAAGTGAGGGCACGTGAACTGCAAAAGGCCCCTCAGGCCCAGGCATTGAGCCCCGTCTTCTCAAAACAGGGAGGTCAGGCACAACGAAACAGGTGTTTTGCAAGAGGCAACTTTGGTGATTTTTTGTGCTCAGACAAACATGCACAAAAATCTGAAATTTTGAGAATCCATAGATGAGGTCGTGTTCTTTCCAAAAATAATAACAGACCATTTATAAAAAATCATTTAGACTGCGAAATAATCGTCGCGCCGATTCAACACATTTTTCATTTTTGCCACTCAGCCATGCCTGGGCCAACTAAAAAAGTACTCCAAATTCAGTGAGTTTTCGCGCTCAGAAGAATGCTTGAAAAAACCTTAAAATTGGAGTATTTGTAGATTTTGTTGTGATCTTTCCAGGAAAAATGCTAAATAAATTTAAAAAAATCATTCCAACTGCAAAATAGATTGCGGCCGCAATTTCACCCAAATTTCAATTTTGTCGTTCAGTGTCTCTCTCTCTCTCTCTCTCTCTCTCTCTCTCTCTCTCTCTCTCTCTCTCTCTCTCTCTCTCTCTTTGTCTCTCTCTCTCTCTCTCTCTCTTTGTCTCTCTCTCTCTCTCTCTCACTCGTATCAACAAATGAAACAAAACACTCTTTCTCTCTCTCTCTCTCTCTCTCTCTCTCTCTCTCTCTCTCTCTCTCTCTCTCTCTCTCTCGTGTTAGCTCTTWGTCTCATTGATTTGGCTACCTTAGGGTTGTGTTCCCCGCTCCCACGCGGTAGACAATTTGCTATTCGCAACCCTAAGGATGTGGACCTGCGGTATAGTTCGCAGCCCTAAGGCTGCTATATAGCGGGCATCGGTGTCTGTGTCAAGGTGTTGCATTTTTTGGCGACGGGCGACAAGGACACAAAGTGGGTTATTAGGGGGCAAAAAAATTTGGGGGGCCGGACCTTGGCAAAATTGCGGACTACCTATTGTATACCGCGTGGGCGTGGGGAACGCAGCCCTAAGGTAGGCAAATCAATGAGGGCCTCGTTCCACACCACTAGACGAACCCTAGAGTCTCAAGTGCGCTCTAATCCCGAAAATGTGATTAACTCACCCTTAGCAGAATCGTCGTTCCATGTGCACTAGAGGAAATACTTGAAACCGACGCCCTAGAGACGGCCGCGGCGGCCCAGACTGGTGGCCGTTCGTTTGGAGGTCGTGGCGTGCACCAGCACGGGTTTGCTGGTTTGAAAATTTGTCCGTCTAACGACGTGGTCGTGGGCCCATCGGGTCCCATATGGGCCCGCGCCGCTTTTTTGAATTTTTGAATTGTGCGGCGCCCGCTTGGGCTGTGGGCGAGTCCTACAAGAGCCCTTGCCGCGCAACCAAGGCGTGCAATTGAGGAATCAAAGTTCTGGCAGCGTTTGAGGAAGCGGAGTTCAGCAGCGTTCGGGGAAGCGGAGTAGAGTACGCCATAGCGGGTTTTTCAGTGCGAGGAGGGAAATGGACGTGGTGAGCCACGTGGCGGCGCGTGAGGGGTTGACGGAGACCGAGAAGGGTTTGCTGGTCACTGTCCTGACGGCGGTATGCAGGCATGTGCAAACAACAGGGGAGGCGCGTTTGCGGTCTCTCCGGCGAATGCGGCGGCAGACGGAGGTGGCCATGACGCGGGCAATGGCTGACTCGGGCACGCCGCCTGTTTCATGGGACGCGCCTTTTCTCATGGCCAATGCCATTGTCGCCGGCGTGCTTCCGCGGGAGACTCCGCGGTGGTGGGTAAGAAGGAGGACCGGAGGAACGTGGGAGGATCTTAGCATATCAGACGATGTGACGACGGATTACTACCATGAGAAGCTACGCATGAGCAAGGAGGTCTTCCAGGACATCGTCGCGGCATGCACACCCTTTCTTCATCGGCAGGTCACGCACTATCGTCAACCACTCCAGCCCGACCATATTTTTGCTTACGCGCTGTATAGATGGGCTTCGGGAGAGACCTTCGACAGCGGGACTTGTTCATTCGGCATCGGAAGAGCAACCGACATCAAGGCTGTCAGGGATGTGACGGACGCAATCTTGGCGGCGTACTTGGACATTATAGGGATGCCCGTCGGTCGACACCAGCGGCAGGTGATACGTGCTTTCGGAGCGAAAGGGTTCCCGAACTGCTTCGGGGCCATAGACTGCACACATGTATACGTGGACAAGCCCGCGAACGCGCCGGCCGAGGATTACTTCGACCGGAAGCAGCAGTGCTCCATCGTCGCGCAGGTCGTCGTGGATCTTGAAAAGCGTGTGCTCGACGTTTTCTGCGGCTATCCGGGTACCGTGCATGATGCAAGAGTGTTGTGGAACTCGTCACTGTACAGGCGTGCTATGACGGGGACTCTATTCAACGCAGAACCTGTGATCCTGCTCGGAGGGGTTAGCACAACCGGCTATCTGTTGGGGGACAACGGCTATGGGCCCATGAAATAGATCGTGGTCTCGTACGGTGGGGTGGAGCAGGTGCCGGATGTGGCGTTGTTTGACGCAAAACAAAAGACGGTTAGAGGAGTGGTGGAAAGGGATTTTGGCCGTTTGAAAGGAATGTGGAGACTGTTCCTGCGGCACCATAAGACGAACATGGATAACATGCCGCAACAATTCATTGTTGTTTGCTTCCTCCATAACCTGCTGATAGACGCTGGTATCGACTTCGATGAGAGGTTGCTGATGGAGCGGGATGCAAACGGGAACGGACGACCGATAGATCTTGGAATGTATCCGCCGGCGGCACCTGTTGCACAGCGAAACGCCGATCCTGAAGCTCTCGCTCTCATATATGCTCTCAGCGCGCGCATCTCGCTGTTGCCCCACTGATGAGAGAGAGAGAGAGAGAGAGAGAGAGAGAGAGAGAGAGAGAGAGAGAGAGAGAGAGAGAGAGAGAGAGAGAGAGAGAGAGAGAGA